CTACAGGTTAGGAGTGGCACAGATCCACACAGACGAAGAAGAAGGAGCTGAGGAGCAGACGACAGAGGGAGGGATGGAGGAGTACACAGTAGTCTCATAGTTGGACGGAAAGAATCAGGTTCACCCAACTGCTGCAGAATCAGAAGAAGACGGAAATATTTAACAGGACACCACATCGTTACCGCAGTGCTGGCATGGAAAAGTTAGGATACGTCACAAATAAAATGAAGAAAACGACGTATATTTTTAAAGAAGACATTATTTAAAAGTCGTTATGGTGAAGACTCATTGTACAGCAAAGAAACTTGGGAGAAAAAAAATTCAAATTCTCATTTATTTATTTATTTATTCATTATGATGACTTGAAAGTGATTCTTAAATGTTGCCAGAAAACAATCCCGTTTTTTGTGTCTGTAAGAATGGGACAAAGTACTTGTAACAAATTGCATTTATTATGTGTAGATTTTTACCAATGAAAGTCACGTGACAGTATTTATTAGGGTGAACATGCAGAGCAGCGGTTCTGCTTCGTGTTCCACCTTCTCACCTGTGTCTCGTTACAGTTTGCGTGGTATAATAAAATGTCAATGCACCAGTGTATTCCATTTTATAATAACCTCAGGGTTTAACTGTGAGATGCGCCAAAGGATTAGTTCTGTTTCTCATGTCGGGGCTCGTATCAGTGATTGAACTCTACGCTGCTTTCGTTACAAACTCAATTTCCAGGAAAAAATCCATATGAACCGGTGTGACGACACAGACTACATTTCTTTGTCTGAAATATAATGAATTCTTCAGCATGTGTCCTGTCCTCCGTTACATAACACATTGTGCTCAGTGAACACAACTCATTATTTCGTCTGTTCTACAAGTTATGGCGCGCAGTGGGCCGTCACCAAAAGAAATGTAATACCAGCTTCTAAGTACTGCAGTGAAGTGTTGAGGCAACAAATACAATCACTAAATGTTGCGTTGAAAACTCATAAAAACTGACAAAAAAAGTACTCTCAATACTCTCAGGTCACACTGTTCACTAATTTAACACCAATTTGTTTTGTTCTCACAACGCCATCGAAATTCTCCGTAAGAGTGAGACTATCAGTCATGTGATCAGCGGCTTCTAAACCAGCAGATGTCACGGTAATTGTCAGCGCGACTGAAGCCTAAAAGTCACCAGATTTTAAAAACAAAACCCAACTTGACTGCACAGTGAAGGTTATTTATAGAGGTGTATTTATATTTTGCACTAGAAATTATCTTGAATTACATTTTTGCCCAAAAAATGAACAGGTGTCATTTAAATAACATAGTATTATGTTCTGTCCTATTTTCACCCATAAACTATACATTTGAAAACTTTGTCAAGTTGCCTCAGGCCTAGAAGGACAAAACTCTGCTAACAACATCCTTCTCTTTCTTTGGGCATTACACGCTCCTCTGAATCATATGATTTGCATTACTGCCCCCTTCTGGGTTTACTTCCAGTTGATGTAATTAAATTCTGACGGCATCCAGTTCAATGTCAACCAAAAGCAAAAACAAGACAATAAAAAGAGGAGGTTGAATCCAAGCTGATAAAAAAAAAACCATGTACTTCCTGTGACGTTCTAAACTAATTCCTTGTTAACCATGTACTTTCTGTGACGTTCTAAACTAATTCCTTGTTTTTTTATCAGGTCAGGGAATCCTGCCTAAAATTCCAAGAAACTGCGAGTTAACTCCTATATTAATATAAATATTTAAAAAATACGCAAAAAGTTCCCACAAATATGAAGTTTTGCAGTGTTGACAAATACTGTGGGAAACTCCATGGAGTAAATGCAGATTAGACATTTTTTAGCAAGAAAAAAAACAGAAGTCAGAAGTTTCGTTGGTGAAGCTTTTATTCCACACCTCAGTAGATTTACAGTTGATTTAGTGGCAGCTTTTACATCGATGGTTGTCTTTGCACACACACACAAAACACACTCAAATTAAAAAGTAAATATTTTCACAAGCTTCCATCTGTTCTACAATTCAGCGAAAATAAAGATCACTCTCGATTTACATCATGAGATATATGTACAAAGGACATCTCACTATCGTTGCATTCAGATGCAGGCAAAATTAGACACTGTGTGAATTCATGCACAAATGCACACTGTAATTCTCCCATAGCTTATATATATATATATATCACCTGACATTATAACACAGTTGGCAGTGAAGGCTGACTGCTACCAAAAAGACATGAGTAACTTTAATGTTGACCATAGAAGAACTTAAAGAGGAGCAGGATCTGCCAAAACACATTCACATTGTCCGACATGAAACTCTGTTCATCTGAACCGTCGTGGACTGACTTCCCTGCACAGTTCAGCTGTATTTGCCGCTCCTTCAATCGCACTGAACATCAGTTAATTAATTAGGCAGAAGTGGAACAATCACATGTTGCCTCCGAGTGATGGCTACTGTAAGTGTGTCACAAGAAATGCAGCAATGATCAAAGCATAAAGAGGAAAACAACATGGTCATTCTTTGCCGCCTCCACACTGGATTTGGCACACTCACACCGCAGAAAAACACTCGCACATAGCAGATATTCAAGTTGGGGCGATCGGAAAACTAAAAAAAAAAAAAAAAGCCGATCTCCACTACATTAAGATTAACACAAGTGTACGTTTCCACCATTTATGAAACAAACACTTCCAGTACTTGCTACCCCTGACAAAAAACGAAAATGAAGTAAATTCACTCACAGAAGTGACTGGAACTGCCACCAAAATATTATATTTATTCTTAAGGGGAAAAGAGTATAAAAATAATTCAAATTAGGAACAAGGGAAAAAACAACACTGCTGGATATTGAAGCAGGTTATAATGACAGAGGGCGAGAAAGAACCAGTGGTGAAGGAGAGGCCACTGCTGTTTTGTCTGCACTCGTTGCATTTTCTAGTCAAGATCTGCAGTAAGTCACGTTTGCTGCAGCTGCCTGATTGTCTGGCAAGCAGGTACAACCACTTAAAAAAAAGAAAAAGAAAACAAACAAGTAGATAAAGCTGTGAAGGAGACTCGACAAACATCCTGCAGCTGGAACAAGCTGTGATACTTTGGCCACGAGTCAACGCTCGTCCCACTTTCCTGATGCCTGTCAGTGGGTGACTGATTTACTGATTGTTGTTGGTCAGGGTGTTCAACAAAACTGGTAGTTGTTGGTCTTCATCAGAGGCTGCTCTTCTTCCTCGTGGTCACAAGACTGGTCACAGGGGCCGTTACAGGACTTGGTCTGGTCACACACTTCACCCTCCGTGACCTGCTCCTGAACATTCTGGTAGATTAGCTGTGGAGAAGTGTCATTTGGACGGTCAGGTTTGACCCAAAAAATATGGACCTAATATGGACTACGATCCTGATTGTTATCATTTTTTAGGGACAAACAATGCTCTACATGTCAGATTAGGTCTCACATTTAATTGGTAACAGAGAAAAAAAATCTTTGCTAATTTTGGTCATCTCAACTGCTGAACAAGTTTAAATAGTTAAAAATCAAAGATCCAATTTATTTTGACAACTTTGTCTTAAATTGTTTGATTATGGAGAATTAAAAATAAAAAAACAACCAGTTTTTTTTAGGACACCGTGACAAGAGCCACTATTGTACCACAAACACCCACCTGTTCCGGTTCGGTCTGGTCCCCCAGTAGTCTCTCTATCATTTGACTGATCTTGCTGAATTGCGGACGCTCTGTGGGCTCCAGATTCCAGCACATCTTCATTATCATGTAGCTGAAAAAGGACAGAAAGTCAGACTTGTACCAGACGGAACAGTGACACTTGACTGTTTCAAGGAATCAAGTCCACGAGTATGTTTTTTTGTGGTAAAACTGCATCAATTCAAATTAGACAAATAAGAGGAGGCCTATGTGGACGGTGACGCAGTTTGATGAGAGGCTCGTTCATAAGAACCTCTGCCCCCTCTAGTCTCGTTCTGTGCCCGTGAAATAGGAGTTACATGGCAGTGTAGCTTCGAGATCATGTGGCTAACAGGCAGAACTGAGGCCTGACTCACAGAAGAACAACAGACGATTAGGCCCTGACTCACAGTCTCCCCTCTTTCCAAAGCACAGTTATTCCGGGTAGTGTGACAGACATGCTAAATCAGTGCACTACATGTCAGTTACTGGAGAAAAAAAACACACTGTGTTTTCTTATTTCCAGAGTGTTTTTTTTTTTTTTGGCTTATGCTGTGTTTACACCAAAAAATATCTTGAAACAGCTGTATCACACCACTTAATCAGTGTTTGACCATAGCCTTATCCGCTTGTCGCGCCCCTACATGCACAGCGGGGGAATAGCGTGCGGGACGGTTATTTATCTGCTAATTTCTCAACCCGGTTTTAGCCGTACCTCACAGTAGTAAAACAAGCCACGGAAAGTCTCACGATTTTCTAGAAGGTTCCACCTCCTGGCTAACTTTAGCCCATAGTTCTTCTGTTTTTTTTTTCTGGTCCTCAGTCTAGAGCTTTGGCTTGTAAAAAGCGTTGAGTTGAGAATGCATGGCCCTCATGAGATAACCTCATGGTTCAGATGTTAGATAAGGTGGCAGAACGGAGAAGAGGAGAGCTTTGTTCACTTGTAATGAACTTTTGAAAATCAAGCTCCAACATTCACCACGCAATTCTGCTGCAAAAAGCCACCATTTAATGAACCAGAAACCGTGTCGCTTTGTGGTTGAACCTACATTTCAGGTGGAGAAAAATCTGGCTGAGACATCTGATAGCCACGCTTCACCATCTTATAGAAACTGGAGTCCACAGCCATGCAGGGGTAGGGGCTCTTGCCTGACAAAAGGAGAATTACGGTATAATTTTAGAAGAAGTATTCTTAAAAATGAGCAGTTGTAAAAGACAGGGATGTGAGTGTGTCTCCATCTGACCTAGAGAGAAGATCTCCCACAAGAGAATGCCGTAGGACCAGACGTCACTCTGGACGGTGTACACACAGTCAAAAATGCTCTCAGGAGCCATCCACTTCACCGGTAAACGGGCCTTCACGCACAAAGTCAGAAGGAACAAAATGTCATCGTTGTGAACTCGTCTCAGTCTACAGCTCGTTTGAATTCGCTCGGGTTCTTACGTTTCCCTTCACGACGTAGTTGGAGTCGTTCATGATGTCGCGTGCCAGGCCAAAGTCGCAAATCTTGGCCTCTCTGTGGTTGGTTAACAGGACGTTTCTAGCAGCCACATCTCTGTGGATACACTGCACACACACACAAACACACACATATATGTACATATATATAAGTTGTGCAGCATGGAGAATTAACAATGTCAGTAAGGGGGAAAACCCCTCCTCAAGTCTTTGACAAATGATTTTATGTCGTGCACAGACTAGAAGTGACTTCCACCAATCAGCCACAGTAGCTTTATGATGTGTTTCTTAACAAGTATACTATATTGTTGAGTCAACCAGACCCAGTATGACTAACCGCTTATTCAAACATCACAGAATCGGGACGTTCAGGCGTTCATTTTCCGGGTCAAATATTATTGTTCTTCTTGATCACTTACGTTTTTAGCAGCTAAGAAGTCCAGGCCCTGAGCTACTTGAAAAGAAAACCTCAGGAGGTCGTCGATGTCCAGTGGACAGTTGGTCCTCTCCTCACATGCAGTGCCTGTGTTAGGAGGGGAACAAGCCAATGATTTTATAGTCCTGCTTTGGTACGACTAGATTATTGCCAATTTGAACAGAGACCAGCGTCGTACCCTGCGTTAGTTCCACTCTTGGTTGCTGGCTGGGTCTCATCTCCATGTAGCTGCTGGACGACTCACTGGAAATCCCGCTATCGCTTTTCCAGGGGAGAGTGGAACGTGAATAAAAGGCATATAAAAACGAATGCTCTGTGACTTAAAGACTTTGTCTTTGATGATGCACCTTCTTATGAACTGTTTCTGATTGTAGATGTTCTTGTAGTCTTTTGAGCTCTCCATGATTTCTGGAATGTTCATGACAAAGTTCACAAACGTCTCTGCCTTCTGGCGGAGGAAGGTCAGCAGGTCGCCGAGGCTGCAGTACTCGGTGATCACAAGCACTGGTCCTGATAATAAGGAAACATGCCACATTACGAGACTTTATTTTTTTACAAAGGGAAGTGTGTTTGCATTTAAATCATCTGTGTCACGCCAAATTTACTGTCAAGGCCTTGGAACAGTCATAAAGACTTTTTATTAACATTTTGATGTCCTCCAGCTAAATGCAGAACGGATCTGATTTGCACTCTTACCTCCGTAGGTGCACGCTCCCAGTAGATTGACGATGTTCTTATGGTGCCCCAAGTGGCTTAGGATCTTCAGTTCAGACATCAGAGCCTCTCTCTCGTCAGAGTGGGCGCTGGCTGGTGATTGAGACGCAGAATGCCGTCGTTAAAAAACGTACCAATTATTTGTGTCTGATCATGCAAAACAAATCTTTTAGGATTCGTTGTTGCAGATTTTCCAGTCGATCTGCTCTGCTTGTGTAAAAACAAAGGTCCCCCCTGTTAAACTGGAGTTCCAAAAACTGCCTCACCTTTCAGCATTTTCACAGCCACACGCATCACATTGTCTTCCTCTCCCAGACCGTACGCTGTGGCCTCAACAACCTTTCCAAACGCTCCCGCACCCAGAGTTTTCCCTGGTTGGAGAGAAAACATCATTTTGATGAAAATTCCACCAGTACATTGACCATTTTTGGGAAAAAAAAAACAAAAACCATATATGTGCCCACCTAGCTTTAGCTTGTCTCTTGGGAACTCCCACTTTTCATTGTAAGGAAGCTGCGTCGGGTCAATAAAGGTGTAGTTGTTTCCATCTCTGGCCTCAATGATCTTCCACCGTATCTCATACCTGGGTTTCTACAAATGATTTAGGACAAAATCAATTATAATCCGCTAATAACGACACGCTCTATTTGACTACATGTCGCCAAGATGCTCTTACCTGCTTATATTTGTAAAACAGGAAAACCAGCAACACAAGGAGGATGGTCAGA